TAGGGAAAAGGGATTCAGAGAAATGGAGTTAGCCCATTCTTTTCCTGGTCCACATATCCATTAATGCACAAGGGAGCAAACAAGGAGAGGAGGGGAAATAATGGGGGGCAAAGACATCTCCCTCTGCATCTTGGACATTTCCTTTCAGATGTTTTTCAGATGAACCCTTCCTACCCCTCTCCCCTTAGAAAGAGGTGAAGAATTCTACCATACATTTTGGTCAGCCACACAACAAAAATAAACCCAAAGTAATTCTTTCAAAATAATTCAAGTGCGTTGTTTCTCCTCTCCTCGGGATACTTCAGATGACTCTCATAACGCACAACGCAGCAATATTGCTGGGTCTTTCTGCCAGTCCTTTCCCATCGAGAGGCTACAGCAATTCTTTAAGTTGCCTTCTGTCTTTTGAGGGGATTTTTGTGTGTGTTTGTTTTGTTGGGTTTTTTTTTTTTGGTAACACCTGAACATACACCATGCTCTACTGTCCTCTAGAATAGCAGAGGTTTTAAGCATGCTAGCAAAGACTGTGGATTAAACAAAGCCTAACACTACTTCTGTACCTCAAAACGGACATTATAGAGCGATTTAGAGTGTAATTTTTTACTGGTGTGCTGGAGCAAACCAACCAAACAACTTTAATTACTGCTTCATAGAAACGGGGGCAAGGAGAAACAGGGAAGGATGGGGGAAGCGCTTGCATCCAACAAACATTGCCCCATCAACTTGAGAAAAGCGCTGCGAGTTCATGTATTCCACCATGCCACTTGCTGATATTTATCTGCCTCGGAGAGCTTTACATTTGAAGGGACGAAAAAATTGTGCAAGTGGAAGGAAAGCAGATGTCTAGAGATAAAGCCATCATCACTGTCTCAGACTCGCCGTGTGGCAAAAAGCTGGGAAAAGAACCCACCGATACCTACTGGGTTTCAGAGAAGTATCACAAGACCTCCCGCCTACTGTAGCAGCCATTCCAGAGCACGCCTGCCCACGCTGGGAAGACAGGGTCTGAACTACCAGCGCACGGAACGAAGAGCAGAGCAGCAGAGTCGGGGTCTTCCTCATCCATCCGACTACAGCAACCTCTGTGGCAAGTCGCAGAGTCTACAGGATGATTCTTCCCTATTTCAAGGTAAGCCTTGGCAGCAGCAGTTTCCTAAGGAGGATCACAACCACCTCAGTGACACAAACACCGCGTCGGTGTTACAGGATGTATTACGGCATCAGCACAGCAGCCTACAGATGATTCACCAGGAATCAGCACAGATGACTCTCAACTTCGGGACTTCATCAAGTACGGGAAAACATCTAACTAGCTGGCCACTGAGACTTCAACAAGTCTCCTGACTTGTTTAGGCCTGAACTGAGCCCCAAAACGGTTTGATTTTATGTTACTGCCTTTATGCATATAGACAGGAAACTTAATCGGGGCAAGACTAATATAATGCATTACACGGGATTAAGGGCGTAATGACCAGTAAGGTCTATGCTGACCTAACAGTTTGTTAATTATACGCCCTAATGATTTCCCTCCTGTTTTCCCTGCAAGAGGTATGGTGCACCGCTGCTTTTTGTACTTATTTCCAATTCTGTATCCGTTGTTTGCATCAACACCGCCCTTTTAATATAAAAGGGAATGAACAGTGTACCCCGTAGCTACCTTCCTAAGAGAGATCTTCGACTACTCTCCTCGGCCAGATTCCTACAGCAGAACTTTTAAAAACTATTTGCTGGCAGCAATTTTAAATGAGGCTCTTCCCATCCGTTTCCAGCTTCAATAGATTAGTTTCACATCCACGACTGCAGCTGTATTTTTGTACCCGCAACTCCTACAGAGTCAACACTCACCTGAGATGACGGTACTATATTCCATTCATCAGAAAACATTAAGAAGGCACTGACAAGGGAAGTTGATCGGTCCGTGCAGGAAGCCCTAATAAAAATGCCTTCCTGCATTGCTGACAAGGCACAAAGTACTTGGGACAGATCCTACAAGTACGTCTCTGCGGTTGTATTTCATCGGATTCCTCCTAGTCCAGCTAAAAACCCACAAACGTATTCCTACGGTATATTTAGGCACTCCTGTAATCTGATCCATGCAGGTATTTTGTAAGCTGTCATCTTACATTCCATCCTCCTCTCCTCTGGTTCTGTACATATTCTCTTCCAGCTGCCATCTTGCATTCCTTCCTTCCTGTCTCTGTTCTCTCTATTCAACATATTTATTTTGTTCACATTCCTCATTCTTCTGAGTTCTTGTTTCAAGTGCTTATTTATCCTCTTTCCTGCTGTCTCGAGAGGCAGTACAGAGTCTTCCTTCTATAGTCTTAGGAAAGTGCAAGTGACTCCCAAGAAGCAGGAGGAGTGCTTGAAAAATAGTCTGCTCTATCTGTGTTTATCTAACATAGAGCTTGCTTAATTCTGTGAAGATGGTGTCTGCAATGTACCATGAACTCACAGGAGTTTTGAAGAGGCAGTGTACATGGGATCTTCAGAGGATGGAGCTGCTCCGATCTTCATCTCTGGACCAGGCTTGATTGACGTGAGGAGAAATTTTTCAATAACCTATATGCAAGCCATCTGGAGGAAGTGGCTAAAGAAGTGTCCATGGTGGTAGAACATAACTGCCTGTTAGATAGATCCATTCCAAAACATGAAGGTCCTGGAATTTGGTACAGCAAAGAAACACTCCATGCACATTTAAAAAAAAAAAAAAAAAAAAATCTTTCTAACGTCAACTTTTGCTCGATTCCACTGCAAGGCCAAGAAGCCTGGGTCGGTTGGGGTTTTTTTTTTTTACCCTCTCGGACATTTTGTACATGTATGGAACTTAATTTGTACTCACATGTAAGTAATAAGAAGCAGCAGTCTTTTGAGCTATCGCAGGAAAAAAAGGCTATTTCCTATATTGCAATTCAAGGAAGAGGAGAAACAACAAATAGTTGCACCTTATTTACAGAAATAAATTCCATCTCATACCATGAACATCATCGTTCACTTTTTGTACACAGCAAC